GACAATTTGGTTGACAAAACTGACTCCAAATGTGGTGAACGACATATAACTGTCCGATTTGTGAGAAAAAACCGGCCACAGCGTCGTCCTTACGGTAAGTGACCCCTCGCGCCCAGTTGTTGCCCCACTCTATCATTGTTCCCGGCTATCAATACAATCAATGAATATTCATTACAATTTTGCGCACAGTTTTGCTTCTCTAATGAACATACCTTCAGAACATAAGATCTCATTTCATACATACTATCGTTGGTCTGAGGCGTCGGGTGACCCCAGAAGCTGAACGATAACATAAATTGATTGTCACGACTTCGCAGATGCGGTACAATCTCTTTGTTGAGCGCCAGAAGGCCCGAGTCTTTGCGCACAAAATTGCCCACTTCTGAGGCCAAACGCCATCCCTTATAGCGCCAAACGTGGACTTTATAAATAATGAACTCATTAATGTGTTATCGAGTATTAATGGGGGAGTGAGTGGTGGACACTAACTGTGTTGGTCCTGATCTCCGATCTCTACTTTCCAACTGCCGACCAGTTCTGCGTTCGAGTTCTTGGACTGCAATTCATTGGTCCACTTCTCGCTAAACACAATACAAGCCATCAATTGATAATTCAAATAACAATTTCAATCAAACGCTTACTAATTGTTTAAATAAAGTTCACTACTCTTGGGTTTCACGTCATGTGCTGTCCATTGAAAATAAAAATCAATTATCAGTTAATTATAACATAATGTTATTTACAGACAAAACAGATAAGACAATCACTCCTTAAGAGATCTTAACTACAAAATAAATATTATATACAAATAGATAACAATATAACAAAGTATTTGTTTGATAATGAATGGATCAAATGTGGTGACAAACTTTGCATTTCATAGACAATCTCAGTGTCCGACAGTAGCCGTGAGTGTGACTCTCTTCCCGGATCAATCTTCCTCACCATCAAAAGCTTTGAAAGCCATCCCTCGCTCTCCAGACGCGGTTCACTCCAATGCAAACCCCTTTCAATTTGGGATCAGATTATCAGATAATTAATGGTTAAGACAATTGAATATTCAATTTACCGATAGGTTTGCGAAACAAAGCCATTATTGAAGTTGTATTTCAATAGTTTAGAGCCATTGCTATAAAACCTTTGCATAATTGCCATCGGATTTGTCACTACTTTAACGCCTTTTACTTTGATTTCATATATAAATTGTTATTAAAATTAATTTTCAAAATATCTTGAAATTCATACAAAAGTTTTGATTAAATTTATTGTTTTGTTTTATGTGTTGTTTAGTCTGTAATCTGAATGGCATTGAAAATCATTGCCAATCCATAACTAATGTCTCCAAATAGACGTCAATTCTGTTTGATTTCCACAAAACACTATATTCTGTGAACAGAATATTCTTTCATTTTTTGAAAATCAAATGAATAGCACTTAAAAAGTGGTTTATTTTAATAATGCAATTAATTTAATATTATGTCCACAATATTTTGAACATAAGGACTAGACATGAATAGGAATAACATTACAATAAATAGCATATTCATGTAATTATCTTAACAAGAATATCACTTTTAATTTTAAACTAAATTAAATGTTATTCTAAAATAATTTATTTAAGTATAATTCATAGCAAAACAAGAATTATTATATTAATTAAAAATAGCATAAAATCTATGCTTACAAATAGAGATTAAATATGAGCAAAACAGTGAGTAAAATGACATGGTTCACAAAACTGGATGTATTCATAATCTAAAATAAATATTCATAGATTTAAATAAATAAGACAACGGTTTTAATTAAAATTATTTAATTTTATTATAACTTCAATATAGCGTCAAATGTGTTCACAATTGCAGAAAATGATAAGAATAAACCATATTTACCTTAAATTCAATGTGAAATCGAAAGTTTATTTGAGTGCCAAACAAATTGCCTAAAACTTTAAGTTCAAAACGACTTTCTTTGTAGTCATCAATGAGTTGTTTGTCTAAAACCTAAGAGAATGGGAGGAATAGTGTGGGAATGCCTTCTGTTATCGGTTAAAGGTTTGACACCTTTCCGCTCGAGGACTGACGGACTTACGTTACGGACCCGCAGGCGAACTGTATCTACCTTTGGGTGCCGTCAGTCCTCAAGTCATGGCATTAACTCATACTTAGGTATCAATAAATGGTTAGTTTCTTACCTCAAGAGTCTTTAAATTCATGTCTTGAGTCAAAACCAGTGTTCAGTTCTTGAGTTGAGATTCATTTTGATGGGAAGATGTGTTGATTTGAGTGTTGTTTCGATTGATGTCTAAAATAATGGATGAAAAAGAGGATTAGTTAGAGTTTAGTGAAGAATATTCATGAGAATAACTGCAATTGTGAACACATTTGACGTTTGGCTTAAAAGAAGTGATTTTGAATTTTGTAACACAACAAAAATTTAAAGTACTTTTAAAATTTTTGCAACAAAAAAAACGAAAATGTTTAAAAAAAATTTAATTTTTAAACACCATTTTTTGCAACAATTCACTGATTAAAAAAATTATGAAAGATTGCAAATAATTGCTAGTATTGTTTTAAAATTAAAAATATTATTTGAATGTTTAGACATGTTTTGTGCAAAGAATATATACTTAAAATATTTTGAATAAAATATTTGTTTCATTATATACCTGTATGTGTTGTGATAACAAATGTTTAATCATTTTCTTTACTCTAATATTTAAATTTAATTATAAATTGACTGTTTTAACCAAAATTGAGTTAAAAATTGTGGTTTTATGGGTCCGCTAATCAACCCTTTATAATAATTATTACAGTATTAATACACTGTAAGCCCTCTGAGTAGGAGCTATCGAGGGGTTAGCCGTGACTTTCAAAAAGCCGTGATATATATTTTCCCAGAGAGAAAATGTGTGATACGTTTTCTGCACTCAACAACTTTGCAGTCATTACGAGACGTATNTCCGTTAAAGTCTATTTCGATGAAGTAATTAACTCTTAATCATAATTATGTATCCATTTGTGTAATCCGTGTTTGCAATTGAAGGCATTGGCGACGAATAGGACGAAGTGGAGAATTGGCCGCGACTTCAATGATCTCAAACTGAAGAAAAACATAAGTCTAGGAAAAGGCGATCCGTTCGGCGAATTCAATTTGGGCTCAACTATTGTCCTCGTATTCGAAGCGCCGAAGAATATCGAGTTTGACATTAAAAGCGGACAAAAGATAAAATACGGACAACTCATCAGTCGGTTTGAGAAACAAATAAACGCATCAAAAGGAGCTTAGATTCTGACGTGTTTTACAATAGATATATAAATATTGTTTAGCCAAATGTTTGCCTTAATATTAGTCAACAAAACCCGTGAATTCTGTGAATTGAATCGTAAAATGATTTTTACACAAATTGTGTAACATTTATATACAATAGTATTGTGTATTTTAAACTTGTTTAGAGAGAAATGATTATCGTTTTTCGCCAATAATTAAAATTTTTTATTTATGAAAACTTACGACTAATTTATTGCAATTTCATTTTATCTCATAATTTATTTGTTAATAATTACAATATAAGGGGAGAATTATTGTCTCAAAATACACTATTAAACCATTGAATTTACTCCTAAAATAGGCAATCATTTTACACATGATTTTTATAACAAATCCATAATTATTGTAAACATTTTTAATTAAATATTTGCTAACATTTGCTAAAACTTAACGAATGGGAGAGAAGTCGTTTGAGCTCATCCAACGCGAGCGCATTTGCATAATCAACGGCACAGTATAGGCCACGCACTCATCCCAACCGGGTTTCCTCCACGCGCTCTCTCGGGTCTCTTTCCGTGAGAATAGGTTCTCGTATTCTGTCAAACATAACATACAATTTCAATATTTATTCAACAATTGGCGACAATTTGGTTGACAAAACTGACTCCAAATGTGGTGAACGACATATAACTGTCCGATTTGTGAGAAAAAACCGGCCACAGCGTCGTCCTTACGGTAAGTGACCCCTCGCGCCCAGTTGTTGCCCCA